GATCTTTCTTAATGTCCAAAGAACGAACGACTATTGGGGTGCTAAGTGGATAAGCCTTGTCCATGCCAAATCGCTTCAGTATTTTTTCAATGTAAGCTGATTGATGGACCAAAATTCCATTAGCACATTGCTCGATCTGCAGGCTAAGACAATATTTTGTTTTACCAAGGTCTTTCATTTCAAATTTGCTTTTCAGATACTTAGCGGTTTTATTTAGCTCTTCAAGGGTTCTAATTCCAACTAGATTCATATCATCAACATATATTGCCACTATAGCGAAACCAGTATTTGATTTCTTAATGAACACATAAGGGCAGATGACATTGTTGGCATATCCTTCTTTGATCAAATACTCACTGAGACGATTATACCACATTTGCCCAGAATGTTTCAGCTCATATAATGATCGCCTTAATTTGATTGAGAACATACCTCGTGGTTTGTTAGTCGTTTCATGTAACTTAAGTCCTTCTAGGACTTTCATATATATGTCAGTATCTAATTCTCCATATAGATACGCAGTGATGACATCTATAAGTCGCATATCAAGTTTCTCTGAAACCACTAAACTTATTAAGTAACAGAACGTAATTGCGTCCATTATAGGAGAGTGTGTCTCTTCATAATCAATTCCAGGTCTTTGTGAAAAAACTCGTGCAACGAGTCTTGCTTTATTTCTTGCAATCTTATTTTTCTCGTTGCGTTTCCTTGTGAATACCTATTTGTAACCTATGGGGTTTACACCAGGCGGGGTTTGGACTATTGGTCCATAAACACTTCGCATTTCCAAGGAATTTAATTCTGCCTGGATTGCATCTTTCTATTTAGGCCAATCATGTCTTTGTTTGCATTCATCAACAGAACGGGGCTCAATGTCATCGCTTAATATGATTTCAATGGATACTGCGAAAGTGAACATATCATCGATGATTATTTCATTTTAATCCCACAATTTATTAGTACATGCATAATTTATGGAGATTTCTTTACTTTCATATACCTATCTCTTCAAGGATATGTGCCTCATCAAAGACATTTTCTTTTTCAGAAAATTTAGAATCATGAATTGCGGATGTATCATTCGCTTTCTTTTCCTGAATGATTTCATTTAGATTCAGTTGTGCCTTCATCTTTCTCTTTCTCTTTCGAGGGGCTGACAAGGACATCAATTCTTACAGGTGCATTTGCAGCTAGTATATGTGACTTTGTCACTTTCGAAACATCATTAAATGCATATGGAATTTGATTAGCAATACTTTGAAGATGAACGATCATTTTCACTTCATCTTCACATTGAGTGCTTCGTGGATCAAAATGAGATAGGGTGGGAACAACCCATGTTAGTTCTTGCCGTTCTTTTGGAATGGTCTTTTCTCCTCCTAATGATGGGAAGACTGTCTCATTAAAGTGACAATCAGCAAAACGGGCTGTAAACATATCACTTGTTAAGGATTCCAAATATCTAATGATAGATGGTGAATCAAAACCCACATAAATTCTCAGTTTGTGCTGAGGTCCCATTTTAGTGCGTTGTGTCGGTGCAATAAGCACATAAACAGCACAACCAAAAACTCGAAAATGTGAAATGTTTGGCTGATGCCCAAACACGAGTTGTATTAATGAGTATTGGTGGTTGGCTATGGGTGTCAACCGAACCAATGATGCAGCATGTAAGATGGCATGTCCCCATGCAGAGACTGACAATTTTGTTTTCATAAGTAGAGTGTAAGCTATTAATTGAAGCCGCTTGATAAATGCCTCTGCTAAGCCATTTTGAGTATGGACATGAGGAATAGAGTGTTCTACATCAATGCCCAGTGTCATGCAGTAATCATCAAAGGTTTGAGACATAAATTCACCAGCGTTATCAAGTCGGATTTACTTAATGGGATGATCTGGGAATTGTGCTCGCAACTTAATTATCTGAGCGAGAAGTCTTGCAAACGTTACATTTCGAGTAGACAACAGGCAAACATGTGACCATCGGGTAGATGCATCAACCAAAACCATAAAATATCGAAATGGTCCACAAAGTGGTTGAATAGGCCCACAAATATCCCCTTGAATTCTTTGCAAAAATGATGGGGATTCAACATCAACCTTTACTTGTAATGGTCTAATTACCAACTTCCCTTGGAAACAAGCCTTGCAAGGGTTATCATTTGAGACATCAATGTGTCTGCTCAATAATGGATGTCCATTAGAGTTCGTAATGATCTTGCGCATCATGGTGGATCCTGGATGATCTAGACGGTCATGCCAAAGCATATAAACTTTTGAATCAATGAACTTCTGGTTCATGACAGTATGTGCCTCAATTGTCTTTATGTATGTATAATACAATCCACTCGATAAACCATGCAACTTCTCCAATATACGTTTTTGGGTATCATTGGAGGTAATGCATATATATTCCACATTTTCTGCACTTTTCGTTTTAATGTGGTATCCATTTAGACATATGTCTTTAAAACTTAACAAATTTCGAGTGGATTGAGTAGCGTACAACGCATTTTGTATGAACAATATTGTTCCATTTGGTAACATGATCTGGGCTTTTCCTGAGCCTTCAATTACATCTGATTGCCCTAATATTGTTGTTACCTTTACTTTTGCAAGTATCAAGTTCGAGAAATACTTTCGATCTCGAAGTATTGTATGTGTAGTTGCACTGTCTGCAAGACAAAAATCTCCACCATTGCTCTTGTTTTGAGAACAACAATAATTTTTATCCATGCTCTCTGAGTAATGGAAATTACAATTAAAAGCAGTTTATTCATACTGGAATACTACTTTTATTGAATTGAAAATGCAAGCATTAAATCACAAGTACAAATAACAAGAGTGCATCAAACATAAATGATTTAATCGGACCCAAACACTTCATTCCCTCTTTCAATAATAAAGTCTGAAACATCTAGGTGGGTTGTGTTCAATTGTCCTGATAAATCGAACACTGGATCATATATATCCATCTGTTTAGCCTGGTTAAGAAAATTGGTCTCGACACCCTTCTTCTTTAGGAAGGCTTGATATAGATCCACCAGATGTTTTGGGGTACGATAGGAACGTGCCCAGTGCCCATTGCCACCATACCTATGGCAAACTCCGTCAGGATTTCTAGAAGTGTTCATATGAGCTTTGCCTTTTTGGCGATTTGCATTTTTAAATCTCGGGCTTGTATTATGCCTTAGAATCTGGTTGTGAAACTGAACATCATGGTTCTTGCCCTTTCAGCCTCACTTGTGGCCACGTCCTCGTTTGTAATTATTGTCATGAGAGGATGTGGTATTCCCTTCAAGGGAAACAGCATTCACTTCTGGGAATGGTGCTAATCCAGTAGGCCGGGATTGATGATTCTTCATCAGAAGCTCATTATTTTGCTCAGCTACAAAGAGCACAGATATCAACTGATTGTACTGAGTAAAGCCTCGCTCTCTATACTACTTATGCATGAGCACGTTGAAGGCATGGAAAGTGCTGAAAGTCTTTTCCAACATGTCTTCCTCAATAATGGTTTCTCCATAGAGCTTCAACTATGAGGTAATTTTGAACATAACAGAATTGTACTCAGCCATCGTCTTAAAATCATGGATCCTTAGGTGAACCTACTCATAATAAGTCCTCAGAAGAATCACCGTTTTCTGGTGATTGTATCTATTTTTCAATGCCTTCCAGAGGATTAGTGGATCTTCAACCATGAGGTACTCGCTCTTCAGTCCCTCATCAAGGTGGCGAGGATAAAGATCATGGCCTTCGCCCGATCTTGAGAGGATGCACTGTTATCATTCTTAATAGTTTATCCAAGATCCGCTGCCTCCAGATGAATCTTGACATCCATTACCCAGGTAAGGTAATTCTTCCCAGTAATATCCAAGGCAACAAAATCAAGTTTTGCCAAGTTTGTCATTTCCTTTTCTGAAAGAAAAATGAGGTGTGTAAGAACTTGCAATAATATGTATTCTGGAGGAACATATTGTTAGAACTTCTGGTTCTTACATATTTTTCATTTTGATCTTCAGGACAAAATGATGAGCACTTGAAACTTCAGGCTCAAGATTTACATGATAAATGAGGAGGGCGATTGTACCGCACCATTCTCATCGAAATAACATAGGATGAGCGATTATTTCGCACCACTCAAACAACAGAAAAATTAAATATGCAAAGCAGGATGAGTAATTATACCACACCACCTAAAATTGCAATAAAATTAAATAGCAGGCAAATTTAAATATGCAGGGTAGGGTGGACGATTATACCGCTCCACTTAAAATTTGCAGTAAAATTAAATCTGCAGTTCAAGATGGGTGATAATACCACACCATCTTTGATCGCAGCAAAGATAAATAAACATTGAGTTAGAAATTAGGAACTACACCAAACAAGAAATCAAAGATATAAGTAAATGTTAGGTTGAGAACTAAAAGCAGGCATGGTGCGAACAATTCTTCACGAGGGTATACCCAGTAGTTGAGGCAGAGGAAGAAGAAGAACAGTAAAATCCTTAAAGGAAACATTTTTTTTTTCGCCGAAGAGCAATGAGAAATGTTTTAGGGTTAGAGAGTCGTGCTGATAACGTGTTATAAATAGGCAAAAGTTAAAGAGATAACCTTTGTTAGAGACAGGAGCGAGGTTGTAGTAAAATATTATAAAATGATTGCAAATAAGAGAGAAATAGGAAGATACTGAAAATATTCTAGCTTTCCTTCTTTTCTTCTTGTTCTTCTTATTGTTTAATACTTGTAATGCTCTATTTATAGAGCAAGTACCTTAGAAACAAACAAATTACACTATTAATCATACGAAAAGTTTACTGTATGCATATGGGCATACATACCCACTATTTACAACATATCGACAATTATATAATCAAAATATTGTCAATAGCAATAATATAGATGACATGTCGATATTTAATGGTCGGACATACCACGATCACGACCTAATCTTAAAGTTTTCCACTTTAGTTGGGCCTCATATGGTTCACACCCTAGCGGAAAGGCTGTGTGGATAAGTTAGTTGAGGACCGTTGAGAGTACCCGCAAAGGCAAGAGACTTTCATCACTCAATCCTTTGAACTTTTGAAGAGTGAGTTTCTAAAATGGCGTCAATGGCTGTCTGTCATTCCTTAGCAACATTATCTTCTACGAAACCTTTGCTATCTCAAAAAAAGACAACCTCCATTGCCAACCTCAAATCCCACGAAAGGGTCTTACAATCTTCACTGTTGGGCACAAGAATACTGATTAGAAAAACAAGAGTGCCATTTAGCAGCAAGGTTGGAGCAACATCGACTTCCGAGGTCACTTGCTCTGCCTCTTCTTCCACTCTTCCTTCGGCTCTTCTCTTCGACTGCGATGGCGTGCTTGTCGATACAGAGAAGGACGGGCATCGCATTTCTTTCAACGACACTTTCAAAGAGGTCAACTTTCTCTCCATTGCTCTCCTCTGCTTAGTGCTTTTTTGTCATCAAAATTTTACTACTTGGTTTTCTTGCTTTTGGGGAATTGCTGTGAATTTTTTGCTTGGCGAGCTCGTAAGCAGCGAAATTTCGAAAGAAAATGGAACTTTCAATTTGTGTTTTCTATAATTTTGATGAAAATATTTGAAAGACGAACCTGAATCTCAATTACTTTGATGGGTTAGTGACGTGATGACATACTTGATTGCACAGAAAGAACTGGGTGTTACTTGGGATGTCGATTTATATGGCGAGTTGCTCAAGATTGGAGGTGGAAAAGAAAGGTAAGTGTATCTCAAAATATTCTATAGCTAGCTTTGCATTATTTGGTATGAATGAAATGTGAGCCAACATCTAATTTGGTTAACAAACTTTGATTTAGTTTTTGTATCCGTATATGGTTCGGGTCTTCGCAGGATGACAGCCTATTTTAACAAGACGGGTTGGCCAGAAAAAGCTCCCAAGAGTGAAGAAGAACGAAAAGCATTCATAGCTTCACTGCACAAGCGAAAGACGGAGTTGTTCATGGCCCTTATTGAGAAAAAGTTGCTGCCTCTTAGACCCGGAGTTGCAAAGTTGGTTACCATCTGATCTTCTGCTTTTGCATGAAACATTCGTTATTTGATTTTTGTGTGTTACATATCTCTTGCATTTTCGGGTTACTGGACCTGGAAGTAATGAACTATGTTAGCAGTGAAATTTTAGTGTTCTTCACAAACAACATCAGTCTTTCAGTCCCATCCATGATCAAAAGTATTTAGTTAGATCGTGATTTGTGCGTTAGCAATCGTAGCAGGTGCATAAGAATCTTTAGCATTTAGCATTTTATACATAACAAGATAATGCTTACAGTAGACTAGTATGTTTATCTGAATAGAATTTCAAATTTCAGATGTTGGGTTGCTGAGTTTCTCTTACCAACTTGTACAGGCTGATAGACCAGGCTTTGGCAGACGGAGTTAAAGTTGCCGTGTGCAGCACTTCCAATGAGAAGGCGGTATGCTTTATCAGGTTCCACATTTTCGTTAATTGCTTGTGTTATTGGTTCTTTTGTGACTGATGACTACAATTGGGGTTCTTATCTCTGCAAGAACTAACAAGTAATCATCAAAACCTAACGTACTCTTGCGTGTTTCGAAACCTATTTGGTGTTGATCACTTGATTTACTAATCAAATATACTGAAGTTGAAACTATGGGTAGAGCAGAAGGCTGAAGACAAGAGATCCTACTCTTATTACTGAAATAATACATACTGATGCATAGATTGATCCTGTATTGACGTTCGAACCACCTTTTTTTTTTTAATTTCAAGGTATCTGCAATAGTTTCATTCTTGCTGGGACCAGAACGGGCAGAAAAAATCAAGATATTTGCAGGAGATGTCGTTCCTCGCAAGAAGCCTGATCCGGTAAACTTGGATCCCTCTTCATGTGAATTTCATGTTGTTTTACATATAATATCATGTTTCTCTCTTTGAGTTTCATTTGTCACTCAGACGATGTTAGAAACAGATGAAGGTATATGGATTATTAGCCACTAACCTATACAGTCTACTCATTCTCCTTGACAGGCCATCTATGTATTGGCGGCTAACACTCTCGGTGTTGATCCTTCGAGGTATTTCTGATGCTAGAAAATGAGAATGTATCTGAAATTTTACATTCTAAATGAAGCATCTTTCGTCTTCTGCAGTTGTGTTGTGATCGAGGACAGCGGCATAGGCCTTGCAGCTGCCAAAGCTGCAGGAATGAAGTGTATAGTAACGAAAAGCGGGTAACTTATATAGTTAATTTTACTATATGAACAAGAGTTCTTCCTTCTTGATATTCAAGATTATACTTCAAATTTGTTAGAAAGTTCATGAGCATGAGTTGAGTGTGATCATCGCTAGTCATATATGTCAAGCCAATAAAATGCTAAACATGTTCACTTCATTTCTTAAAATATCCGGTTTTTCAGGTACACAGCCGAAGAAGACTTTCAGAATGCAGATGCAGTCTTTGACTTCATCGGAGATCCCCCGGAGGAGCGATTTGACTTGGGATTCTGTAGAAGCCTTCTCAAGCAGTACGTGAGCTAGCCTACATTTATATGTTCCTACCGGTAAAATTTCGCTCAACGCATGTCCTCCCTCTGCAATATCTTGGATGGTGACTGCGGTTTTAACTAAGACAATAAACGAATGCCGGTAAATATGCATCCGATCATATTTAGAATGGTCGAGAGAAAATGTAATAAGGTGTTTTGTTGCTATGTCGGACCAAACTGTATGTAAAATAATTGAAGAACCACCATTCGTGAGATATATAGACTCAACTGACCACCTCCAAGCAGTCCAACAGAAACTAATTCCCCACCAACACAACATCCGTTACAAGATTCTGAACTTAAACATGAGACAGCATAGAACATTCATTGATAGAAAGTAACATCTTCGAAATTAACCTACGGTAACCATCATCATCGAACTTGGCAAAGATATTATATAACTTCATCTAGTTTTTCATACCATAATGTTCCATGAGCAATCACCGTGACAGCAGGGAAATCAAGATGATAAATTGAATGCCTTTGGGAATGAATCGGGAGACCACTCTCGAAATTACGGGAAGAGTGGATGCAACGTATGATAAGTTTCTTCACCCAATTCTCTTACTTGGACATTAATCAACCAACCCCTTTTAGGATTGAAAACTTCAAAAAGAGGTGGCGATATGTCTCTCCTTTAACGAACTCGTCATATTCAGTGGAGAGGACATATTTGAAGTTTTCGATCATAAATCTGATTAGTGGAAAGTTCTCCCAAATCCCCCTTCGTAGTGCGCGATCAAGTTCATGGAAGTTATACTGAACGCTACTGTGCATGGGGTAAAAATATTCTCATGAGGTACGAGCGTGCATTCAAGGATTTGCGTGTTTATATCTTGCGAGGAGAAGCGGGGGATGCATCTGGCATTCTGGAAAATCTTTCTATAGATAAGTCTGTAGAAATGTTTGAAGACAATCTAATAGTTTGTTTTGGCTGTGTTGAAGAATCCCATTTTGCATGTGTAGCAGTGCTCCAACTGTTCATCGAAGGACCTCCTGACATTCAACTCCGTCGCACTGATATGAAAGCAAAAGAAACGTACTATTTTAACCGTTGTGTGTATCTTCGTGATCGGTTTACCACGCTTGATCGTTCGGACAAGCATGAGCATAAGCCTGATGCAAGTTCATGAACTCCCTAGTAGGGAAAAGCTTCGAGTCTCATGAACTTTCTGGGGTTATAGTGGTCGTGGTTCCCAGCGTGCTCAACAAGAATATGGTGGGCCACAAGAATATCAAGGCGGAGGCATGGGAGGGCCCGCTCAGCAAGGAGGTGGTGATGGTGGTGGCGGCGGCCATTTAGGGCCACCTCAGCACCAAGCACCGCACCAACACCCCCCCCCCCCAAAAAAAAACAGTTCCCTATCAACGGGTCTCCCCTCAGCCTTCATTTGGGGGAAGTTCATCGTCCCAGCCACTCGAGCCTTCAGAAGTGGAGGAGCAGCTTGCTGACCTTACCGTACAGGACGTGAGTGCACATAGGCAGGCAGCTTATTATTTTTCTTAAATTTTACTATACCAATCTTAATAGTTAACAACAATCATCTCATATGATTTATAAAATATTATTTAAATATATAATATTCCTAACGTTACTCTTTCTTTTATGCGGAAAGTCTACGTACCCACACGCCTACTCTCACACATGACACTTTTACGCAGTGGAGGTTGGCTCTCTGTTTGCATGGTGGAGATTCACTCTCACATACTTGTAAAACATAGACTACGTGGCCTTCCTGACACCAAGCAATTCTTAATTCTAGTTGCATTACAAATTAATACAACTTTGCATTAGTATTCACGGAGGAGGTGTGCAGTAATGGGAGTGAGTTAATCTAAAGAGGTTCTCTAGCTAGGGTATTTAAATATGGGCAGATGGCTGGAGTTATAAGAACAACCACCAGAGTTACTACTATGGACGGTGGCTTGCGGTGGGTCTGTATTGTCCATATTGAATAATATTTGACTACTTAAAAAATGAGTAAGCATCGGCCATGAAGTTTTGTTCAAGTGCAACGATATTTCTGGAGATGGAAAAATCTATTTCTAATCTAATCAAAGAGACATTAATCTTGACATGGCTTCATCCCGTGGAATATATAGCAGCAGTTCATGATCTTAGGCGTAATCTTTATGATCTTCGTTCGCCAAAATTTTACAATCTGCAACGAAATTTCCTTCCCGGAAAAGGATCGTGACCCATTTTCAACATCAAACCTATGAAGTGTAAAATGTATTTAACCCCTCTATGATCGACTGTAATTGGTGCAACAAAAACTTCATGAAACCAGAAATCTTCAACTTCAAGCAAGCTTGCAAGCTCAGTGACTAAGCAAGCACGACGCAAGCTCAGTACCTTTGAAAACTGAAACCGCTTTAGTTTTTCAAGCTAGTCACTGAGCTTGCTTGAAGTTGAAGATATCTGGTTTCATGAATTATGTTTCTGCATGCACTTGCAGGGTTTAGGACTACGCAGCTCATATCGGTATTCTATTTCTGGGCTCAGTCAATACTTTTATATCAAAAGCCTTCTCTTCTCTGTCTAGGAGCAATGGTTCCTAGGCTCGTAAGCTGTCGAAGAAGACGAAGAGAAACGAGAGGTGAATACAAGTCGAATGGTACGATATTCCTTGATATAAACAACGAGTTTCATTTCCTTTCAGAAAAACAAAGAGGTTAGAGTTCTGTCATTAACAATCAAGGGAAAAAATGACCCATAAAACACATCAAAACTCTACAATTAAGCCATGACAAAGTTACATGTGAACTTGAAATAACAAAGATTACACATTCCGAAAAACCCCATACTTTCTGTTGAAACCCCAAACTCTACAACCTTAAGTTAGATCCCAAATATTTTCCCCATATCCAACTGCTGTTCTATGTTTCTTTGTCCCAAACCCAATTCAAACTTTGACCCGAGATTTTACCCAGGTCGAATTCTGTCCAGCCAGTCAACGCTCTTCCGTGGTTTTTCTAGCTGACAGTCGACGCTTCTCCTGGATTTCTCATGACGGTATTCCACACTTCTTCGTGACTTCTCTATCTGGTCAACAGAGATTCTAAACTTGTCTACCTTGTCGATGTTATTGAACTTGTATTCACTAATATTCAGCTTTTCAGGTCTATCAGTGCTTTTCCTTGATTTCTCTCTCCGATCAGTACTCTTTCTTGGAGCCTCATAAAAATCGACACTCCTCCTAGGATGTTCAATACGGTCTGTGCTTTTCCTGTGGCCTGTGCTTTTTCTTGAAGTAATCCTACGTGAAGGTGATTTTTCGACAGTTGAGATGAACTTGTTGAGATGTCTAATATATTCTGGATAGAGCTCCAAATTACAGTGATTTCCGCCTTTGAGCCATAGAGGTTCATATTTCTCTTGGCAAAGTACCCAAAGTTGCTTGCCGTGTGAGCAGTCCACAACTTCATCAGATGTTCCCTGCAGAAGAATAACAATCAGAAATTTCAACCAACAAAAAAATAAAAACAGGGCAAAATCCATTTGATATTCTGCTTTAGTCATCTATGAAAGCTCAAATGTAATTCACGTGCCAAACGTATGCAAAGTAGAAAAATTCCAGCAATCAATTTAGTTCATAGAAAAAGGCAGTACTTACGTGTATTACCAGCACAGGACATTTTACCAGTGGGATTTTATCAATGTTCTGCACAGAAATGAAAATCAGGTTCAGACACATACATATGCATCAAAATTCTCTTTATAAAGAATTTCGATAAAAGTCATCATAAAATGGTATCAAGAATCTAACCTTATAGATATCAAACCAGTATGTGCGCTTCACAGGATACATGACTCTTAAACCAGATAATATAGGACTATGCAGCACAATTGCCCTTAATCGAGGCAAACGGACAGCAAGATCAACAGTCGGGCCACTTCCAACCGACTGACCATAGAGGATTACGTCTTCCTGCTTAGCACCATACCTCTCTTCAAGACACTTATATGCAGCTTCAATATCTGCATAAGTATTATGTTCACTTGCCTGCAGATAAAAAGTACATGGATGGGCTTATCAGACAAACCTTTCTATTGCAAATTGAAACACAAGCAGATAATTCGTACTGCACTTACCTTGCCTGAGGACTGCCCATAGCCAGAGTAATCATACCTGCACAGGTTCAACTAATATGATTCAGAATGCTTTCCATGCTTCTTTCAGAAAGAAAATGTCTCCTACATATTTATATGTTCCAGTGTCAGGTTTGGAACATTCTGTACACATAAGTTCAAATCAAACATAACTTCTATGAGCTTTATCAGAAGCAATATTCTGGATTAGCAGATATAACTTTGGAGGGTGATCCAGCATCAATGACCGGAACACTCTAAAAAAGGGGATTGACACATACACTGAAAGCCTATACACATTTTGTTGCTAAACACGTTTTTCTTGATGCAAAGATAAAACCGAAAACAATTCCTTTTTCCCCCTCCAAAAACAGTTACACTCGACTTGGAAGTTGGAAGGATAGTATAAACCAGTTCAAATTATACAAACGTATTTGGACCGAGGTCTGCACATAATCGGTATCTTTGGCGATGTATCCAAATCTGAATGTCTAAAGGAAGGTCGTCTTCAAGGCTAGCCTCCGAAGTACAGAAGGGAGTGCAAATTGAACTTTCACATTTTCTCCAGGCACCAAGAGATCGCACTTGGTGCGATGGCAAGTGCCTTCGCCCATGAGCGGTAGGTCTCGGGTTCGAGACTTGAGAGCAGCCTCTCCATAAATGGGGGTAAGGCTACCTGACATTCACCTCTCCCAAACCCTGCGTAAAGCGGGAGTCTGTGCACTGGGTACGACCTCTGTTTGCCATTTCAGCTTAACTAACCAAAATTTGGTTCCATCGCAGAACTACATTTCAGCATAACCTTGACACTTAAAACCACCTTTTCCAGTTGAACTGTTGATCCGACAACTGCCACAACCAGTAAGAAAAAACCGAAATGGCACTCTAACTCGTTGTATAAAATTACAAGCTTTACTCGGAAAAAGAATCGAAATTTGTTTCTAATCGATTGATTGCGCCAAAATTGCAATTGGGTTAACCATAACTCTTAAGAAACTTTATGTATCTAAATCAAAATTCCCAAGATATTCATATTTCTAAAATTAAATCACCAGTTCCTCATCGGAATAAGTACCCAAAATAATCAACAAATATCCAATGGCACACCCAAAACCAAAATTTCTCAAATGGGTAAATTGCTAATTCATCAAAATTTCATCAGCACACCCAAAAACAATCACACAGAGAAGAGAGAGCCAAAACTGTAAAACAGTAAAAGCTTCAAAATTAGAGTAAAGGGTAGAGGGAGAGAGAGGTTACGCCATGAGATTGACGCGCAGGTGAATGCTCAATTCGATAAAAAGCTCGTACATCTGGCCGATATCGGTGGCGTTGCCGTGGGAGTAAAGGAGCGTGGACGTGGCCATTGGGTGGCGAATATAGACGGCGACGATCTCATTGCCGCGGCGCGTCGGAAACTTCAAAACGTCGACGTTTTCACGGTGGGGAAGCGGATCCAGTAGCAACAGCCCTGTGGCTTCGTCTTTCACTACCTTGTAGGATGGTGGGTTCGGTGGAAAAAATGCAAACTTTGCAGCCATGGATGAAGTAACCCCACCCATCTCTCTCTACCCTCTCTCTCTCTCTCTCTCTCTCTCTCTCTCTCTCTCTCTGGGGTTGAAGATCAGACGCAAATTGACATTCCTGAAATTTCTACAGTGCTGCAACTTTCTGTTGGCCGAGTGAAAGACAGCGTCTTGGAGTGAATAAAGTGAGCGTTTCTTGTTGGTCTAATTTCTAATCCACTAATTATTTTTTATTTATTTATTTGTTTATTTATATTTGTTTTTCTAAATTAATTAAAAATTATTTAGTGGTATTGTGAGGAGTCTGCATCTGTCACGTGGGGTTGGCACTAATTTAATTTGTGGTTGCATTATTGTCCTGTTATTTTCATGATTTTCATTATTCCTTTTCTTTGTTTGTTGGCATTAAATCCCCTTTGTGTGTGGTTGATATGTACATTTATTGAAATTTAATTTACTTCTTGTGTTCATGCCCATTTTGGACTGGCCGCCTCACCACGTGGATGGTCTAGTGAATCTTATAAACTAAGGCGGCTAGCGGTTGTACATATTAATTTTGATTCATCTATACTAAAACACGTGGATAAGTTATATCGCGAAAGCTTGGTCGAGCGTGGGTCAAAACATATTCAACCATAACTTGTCGAATCAATGATCTTGACCTATCTGCAATATTGAATTTATCCATGCTTTTTTTTATTTTTATTTTTTAATTTATCCATGTTTATCAAAAAATGGAAGGATTAATATATGTATATGGGAGTAAATCAAGGGCATAAATGAGTATATCTTGGAGAGATAATCTTAACTAGATTATTAATTTGTCCTAATTTGTAGTTACTCGTGTGTCTGCAACTCCCATGATTTCCCACCTGCTTTCGCCATTTTCAAAGACAGCTCTGTCATGCACTCTCTGTTTCTATGATGCATGAACACGGAGATATTTCTTCGTATTTTCATGTCATATTTGTATGTTGTGTCGTACTCTTTTATATTTATGGAGCGTTTTTTCTTCTTAATTATTCATCTGTTGTATCATATCTTTGTATCTTTGTGCATGCATCCTAGCTCTCTTCTTATTTTATTTTCTCATTTCTTACGTGTATCCAATACATTTAATTAATTCAAAAATTGATAAATAATTATCTTTGCAAAGTAACTGAAAACAAAAAGATTAAAAGAGACATATAACGTTCAAAAAACGCACAAACCCTATGGTTGAAAATAATAAATCCCCTTGAATGAGCTTGAATGGCAGCTGCAGAAACACAGATGAATTTTTATTGAGCTTCCACCTACACATTTTAACTTTCATCATCCCATGCATATATGGAAACTAATTAATTTCTGAATTAAATCATGAAACATAAAAAATATGTATAGACCTTTTAAGAAGAAATCTATTTTATTTTAATGGAGATTTGTTGTAGGATACATTCCATATCGAACTTCAATGATCCGAACTGTCTATTTTGTAAGCAATGACATCGATTCATATATCATGTATGCAAAAATTTAATTGAATCCGCGACCAATTGTCCATTTAATTGTCATAGTGAAATTTTTAATGTTCATCAAATTTTTTTAACTTAATTAGATGCCTCAAATATTTTCAATTTGGCTAACATCTTGTAATGATGATTTATGAGGTGCAACTTGCAAAATAGACAATTCAGATCGTTCAAATTTGATGTGGTATGAACGCCACAACTAACCTTCATTTAAAATAAATAAATAAATAAAATAAGGATCCCTTCCTTAAACTGTATTTATATAATTTATATTTTCTTGTCAAAAAATCCAAGATGAAAAAAGTTTCCATGCACTGACAAATTCTTAAAAAACTAGAATATTTGCTGGTCTGGGAATTCGAAAGCTGCAGGAAAATTTGAATCCCGGGGAGTCTGAGTTGGTGTGGAATATGTGAAAACATGCATGCATGGAGCAACTCACAACATTTGGATGGTCCCTTCCCTTCTCTCTCTCTCTCTCCTTCTCTCACACATAACATGACTGTATTTGGGAGGAACATGTTGGCAACTTTCAAGACAACTCCCTTGGTAGAATGAGACTACTCACATGTCTCTTTTTTTTCTTCTTATAAAATTCTTCGACGCTTGATAAGCCACTTCTGATTATTTACGTTTCTTTGTTCTTTGATCGATTCAATTCGTTTCACTTACTACTGTAGTTTAGTAGTATTCTTTTTAACAATGTGTGGAAATCAATTATCAATTAAAAGATCTCGAACCTCTACATGTAGGCTTTGTATATTTGCTCGCATTTCGCTACATTCAACCATTATAACGATCTAACGACTTAACACATGACGCATCAAATGGTTTAATTTCATATTTGATCAGATTGGTTTACTTTATTCAAAATCTTCTTGTTTTCCACTTTGTTACGCCAATTTTTTTTTTTAAATCTTTCTATGACTAAATATGGTCTGGCCCAGTCCATAGTTTGCAGATGTTGGCCTGAAAAGATTGGATTTTACCAAAACATTTTAGATTGGTTTCGCCTAGCCCAAAAAGTGGGTAGGAAACTTGTAGGGGGCAACTGAACATTTATTTAGGCTGGGGTTGCTATTGCGCTTCCCGTTCCCTTGTGTCATGATGGTTTACGGGCCCTTAATCCTAGAAGAAGATTGCTTCAAGGGTTATTATGGTGTGGCTGAACGTAGAGCAGTTCGGCCCTACAGCGTTTGATCAGTAGATTATTTAGAACTTCGGAAGATTGAGGGGTTATAATTGGAGATATTATTGTTTTTGGTACAGAAGTTCCTATAAAAATGGGAAATGCCTTACCTTTGAGTGCGGTTTGAACCATTGATTTACATAATTGGAAGTAACCAATTAGGTTTACGACGAAACCTAGAAATCAATACAGGAGAACCATGAACGGAGAGCTTTCCCCCCTTTTTTCACCCCGACTCTTTGGTGGTTTTAAGAAGCTAACAATTTAATAACTATCTTTGTAGCTCCATAATGTTTAAATTTATGCTCTTGTTTATTCATGTTCAAGCAAGTTTCAAACAATTACCATTGTGATTGTCACAATTGTATACGGGGTCGAGTAATTTCTTGGTCCTCTGCTGGGGCCTTGTGGATTCAAGGGTACAAGAAGGGGTACACTATTTGCCACTCAAACCGCAGCAGGAAATGCTATTCGGAATGGCATATACATCACACATCCTAGATCAAGTAAAAACTCTGGGATTTCGACAAAGCCATTGCTACATCCATTTCATTAGGAATTGATGATCTTTTAACAATACCTTCCAAGGGGTGGCTAGTCCAAGATGCTGAACAACAAAGTTTTATTTTGGAAAAAACACCATCATTATGGAAATGTACACGTGGTATAAAAAATTACACCAATCTATTGAGATATGGTATGCTACAAATGGATATTTGCAACAAGAAATGAATCCTAATTTTTAGGATGATCAACCCCTTTAATCCAGTCCATATGATGTCCTTTTGGGGAGTTTTAGAGGAAAATGCATCCCAAGTACACCAATTAGTAGGCATGAGAGGATTAATGTCGGATCCATAAGGACAAATGATTGATTTACCTATTCAAGCTTAACTTAAGCAAGCTATTTACCTTTTTTTTTTAAACAAACCATCTTGATCTATAGCCATAACATCTAAAATCTTTTGTAATCGAGATTGATACCAATACGCACGAACTGGTTCTCTTTAAAAAGTCATAGCAAACTCGGTAGCTACTTGTACTAAAAAAACAAGTGTAATTCCCCTAGACAATAAAATATTGCCAAAGGCCAATGTAAACAGTATTGGTATGCTGGCCTAGAGCATCTTCAACTGTTTCTCTTTAAATTCAATTTAGAAATATTTTAGTCATTTATATGTATAAAACAAATGAACGGTTTATTATGAGGATGTTATTTGTTGCCAAACCATTTATTGTTTTAACACGGAATGAGGAGGCTGAAATACCTCTGTGAGTCTTCTCGGCCCCCGGAAGGTGTGGATAATTGTGGCTTGCCACCAGTTATCCCTTAAAAAAAAAACAATCTCCTAATTGAATGATTTTTTATAGTTATACGATCTTTAGATGATAGTAAAAAAGATAAACGGTTTTGATTATAATGTTCAACAATAAAAGTTTATTAACCGTAAGTACGGAGACAAATGAGTCTACCCATAAAGAAACATAGGCATCATCTTTTTTGAAATACCTCTTTATCCTCACACGTGAGACATATGTTGGTATAAATATGACCCAAATTGAAGGATAGAGATTCTCTCCCCTCTCTTTTTAGCTCCCCTCCCTTTCCTCCTCCTATAGTATTTTTTTTTCTTTTTTCTCTCTCTACAAAGATAAAATCTTGAGCGTTCAAACAGAAGAAGAGGGAAAAAGAAGGAAAAAAACTGAGAGGAGAGAGAATCTTTGTCGAAATTGAATGGGAAGTTCGACTTGGAATGAAATTGATATGGATCCTATAGAAAATGGAGGAGGATTCTCTACCCTCCTAGTTTCTCTACCCTTTCATGCCCTCTTATTTGAACGATTACGGTTGAGCCACGTCAACATCTTATATTGATTATTTTATATAGATAATAATACAAAAAACAATGTGTGAGATGAGAGAATGGAAGAGGATGAGAATAGGAGGGTAGAAAATCCTCCTTCATAGAAAATAACTACTAAGATACTATAGAACTTTTTCCAACACGCACATAAATAACCTTGTTATATAACCTTACGCCACATTGACGTTTTGAGCAATTTAATGGAAAGGAAAGCCAATGATTCATAAATACCAACACTAACTATGGACCAACCTACCCAAACCTCAATATTTCGCTGTCAGAAAAATGTGTAAATGTAAACTATTTGGATCGAGATTTTCTTCGTATCTCGCACTTAAGAGTTTGCAGACTAAGCAATTCAGATCATTCAAGAAAAAGGGATATCTAAGGATCGGAGAGAGATTGTTTGTGAGATGGAATAACAGAAACCACAAAATTTAAATTAAACGGTCTAAATTGCTTGGTCTATAATCTCCGAAGTCGGGGATCGGAAGAAAATTTTCAATCCAACTATTTGGACGTATAAAGGTAAAAGTCATATTTGTCAAAACATAGGTGCAAATGCAGTGAAGGCTGTCTTCCCCATTGCTATGCAATGAGTTAAATTTGGTGTTACTTTTTTGGCAAAGCCATGCCACCATGACATGTCAAATTGTCAAATACTTTTTCTGGAGCATGTCTCTCACGCCATGTCTCAAAGCTGCAAAAGCATGGTGCTCTGCAAAGAGTTAATATTATCTGTTCTCTTTCTGCAAGTACAATAGTACTCTCTCTAGAGCTTACAAGTTCTCTTCAACAAGATCCAGCGATTGTCATTTTTTGGTAGCTCCAAACAACAACAAAGATCACAGACTTTTGGTGTTCTTTAGAATAATGTTAGCGACTTAGTCTTGAGTAGAAATGCTATCGAGTCGTAGCTGTGTTTGTGTTAAACTATTTCGACATGCTTAAAGTATGTGTATATAACTAGTTCAACTTCAATATGACACACGACTCACTACAACTATGTCATTTTGTTATTAAATTGACGAGTTGGCAGATAGTTTGCTAACTTTGACTAATAAAAAGATGGATGAGATAGATAATGTGGTAGGAAAACGCTTTTAATCATAAGGGCATGTTTACTAATCAGGAACCGGGGCAAGCAAGAGGAATTGAAGCCAAGCAATTTATTAATTGTCATAAATTAGAATGAAAATAATGTCCATTCCATTAAAATTGTACATTGTTAATCGGACTCCTAATTTTATGTGGGGCTCGCAGTATTTTTCATTCCTCTTCCTTAAGTAAACATACGAATAATTTGGAAGAGAACCATTCCGAATTGCTGTCAATCATCTTTGTTGTTAATCCATATCATGCCACATATGAATTGACATTTCGGTTAGAATACACTAATGATATCTTTTTTTACTGTTATTATTGATGTGAACTTTTTAACTTATCTTTGGAGATGCTCTTATATAAACATGCCCTAAATAAAAATAAATACATTTGATCTTTTACCTAGGTGATTATATACTTATATTAGTATCACATAAGAAACACACTTTCAGTCAATTATTTTCATATATAGGTAAGTCCAAAACTTACTATTCTTGTTTATCAAATTCCAAAGGGGCCATATCACATAAGGTCTCAAATACCTTTATATTTGTAGTATTAAAAAATAAAAAAACTACTCGATTGTTGAAAGAATAGCAGCAATTGCGGTTGAACATTTAATAACAGATGGATACGAATTCAATCATAATTTTAATTTTAATTATTTTGAACACATGCTTATTTGTGATTGGAATTCAACAGCAGCTGCTATATTTCAGCAACGAAGTAGTGTGTATAAAGAAAATGGACCTCGTAATCATGATCGTTCATCGTACATCGTGCGGATAGAAATCATTTTAAATTTAATATTTAAAATTAAATATAAATAGTATCTAACGAAAACTAACCACACGAGGTATAATAAACTATCATGATCACGAGATCCTCCGGATAATCCTTTTCCAAAAAAAAATTAGACCTGGCTTCTCTGCCCACCTACTTCTCCATACTCTCCATCCCCTCCTATTTGTGCGGTCACGGTTAAGCCACATCAATATTTTATATTATTATTGTTTTTTGTCTTATTATCTCTATAAACAAAATTAATATAAAATATTAACGTGGCTTAACCGTGCCCGTACAAAATAGAAGGAGATATGAGTGTATGATAAGCGGGAGGGTAGGGAAGCCGATCCAAAAAAATCACCTCAATTTACTGTACAGTCAGACTCAAATAATTCAAATTTTCTTGACTTTTCCTCCATTTTCCCGGGAAACAAACAGAACCATGGTAAAGAAAGAAAAAAAAACCAGAACCGTGGTAAAAAAAACACGCGTCACTCATGCGCGTGGGAAATGCCAAAAGGACGCCCAACGGAATCTACCGCTAGATACAGCTCTTTCCCGGGACAAAACTAACTAAAACCGCCGAGTACGAAATTACCAAACACCCCTATTTCGGTTTCCGAGACTGACAAGCCGACCTATCTTACTCTCTCTCTCTCCTCTCTCTGCACATAAACTCTGCAACAAGCAGCAGAAAATTCTGACCAGATTTATCTCTGTCCTCTCCCTACTGTCCACGTCGGCTCCTCCCTCACAAGCTAAATGGCACTCCCTAACCCAACCGCCCCTCGCATTCACCGCATTTACAACTCTGCCACTGGCCGCTCCTTCTCTATCTTCCCCTGCCTACTGCTCCTCCTCCACGGAGCTCAACCACCAAGACCTCCTCTGTTTTTAGGGTTTAGGGTTTTATTCTACTTCGATTTTTACGCTTGCCCGTTTGAAAAATTTCCCCAATTTCGAAGCGGGCTCGGATTAATCTCTATTTCGGAGGTTTGGGTTCGCTCAAACTTTGTCCTTTTTTGTTTGCATTTGAATATTTTTTGTTTTTTTTGTTTAAATTTTGAACCTTTAGATTCTCTCTTTGACTATTTTCTCTCTCTACATCTTTCTCTAGATGTGTGGTGTTGAGCTGGATGGTGGCGGTTTGGGCTAATGGGAATGGGATTGCAGGTTTTGGTGGAAGGGGGTAATCAGCAGTGAGGTTTTGATGCTTTTTCTTGGAAATGGTGGAAATGGCTTTCTGGGTTTTTGATATTGGAGTCCAGCGGTAAGAAGAAAGTGGCTTTTTTGAATTTCATGGTGTTATACTGTAGCAAAAAGGTCCTGCATTGTTCTTTGCTTCTGTAAAAATGCTCAAGTTTTGATTTTTATTCTCTAACATGGCAATGCTGATATATATATGTATATGTGTGTGTGTGTATGTATATATATGTTCTGTTTCTAGTTTTGTGATTTAGGGTTTTCTGAGAAATCAAGGCCACCGCGTTCTTTACCGGTTTTTTCGTTAGAGGTTCTTTCTGGTGTCCTTTTTGATGTTTGTATTGTTGGCTTGCCTCTTTCAGGTCGGGAATGCATAGCTTCTTTTGGGGTTCTGAAATTTGGATTTAGAGGGTGAATTCTGAGTATTCTGTTTGATTGGTTGTTTTTTTACCGGGAAAATGATGGATGGGCGGCGACATTCTGTTGATATTCCTATCTCGAAAACTCTCGTGCAACTGAGGAGGGTGAGGTCTCTAAGGGATCCTGATACTAATTCTATGAGCAAGTTCTCTGCTTTGGTTGAGAATGTGAACTGGGAAGCGAATTCGAGTAACGACATTTCTGTGCGGTTCATGAATAGTTTCCAAGAAGCTGGCTCTGGCAAACATCATTCTTTTAGATCAAAGAATCCAGGTCTGTATGGACAAGGAGGAGATTGCATAGATGATTTTGAATTAGATCGTGGTTTAGGAAAATCTAGGTTGATCTTGCATGAGAATTCCGAGTGGATTGGAAGCACAGGGAGTCGTCCAATTAGGAGCAAACAAGCTGAAGAATTTGATTTTTCAGTATCAGATAAGGAAGATGTTTATGGAAATAAATCACTCAGCGATAGGTACTGCGGCAGTCAAATGGATAAAGGATTGGCCTTGACAGGCGTCAATCGTTTGGAGGATGGGGATTATGAAGCATCTGTTAGGTCATCAAATTTAGAAAGATTAGATCAGATTGCATCAAAGAGACAATCACAACGCAAAAATAATGTAAATTCGTCCAGGAAAGTTGGTAATTTTAGTCAAGTTTGCAGTCCGTGCCGCTCAGCAAGTGATGCTCTTTCAAGCCATAGTGCATCTTTATTTGTAAATGAAGAGGCTGATGCTGTGGATCACAATCGTCCTAGTTGCGAGGTCAGCTGCTGCTGGTCAAGAACCCCTCGATTCAGAGAAGCTAATTTTCCTTTCAATGTAGATGAATACCCTCTGCTATACAAGAACGTAGATGAGAGTGCGTTTTATGACCAGAGGAGCTCAAAACACATTCGTAATGAAATGAGTCCACGATCAGAAAACCCTAGGAGTCTGAGTCAGAAATTCAGGCCAAAATCTTTTAATGAATTAGTGGGACAAAATGTAGTAGCAATGTCTCTTATGGGAGCTATCGCTAGAGGGAGAATAACATCATTCTATCTATTCCATGGCCCTCGTGGTACAGGAAAGACATCTGCCTCAAGGATTTTTGCTGCAGCACTAAATTGCCTTTCACATGAGGAGCATAGGCCATGTGGTCTCTGCTGTGAATGTGTTTTGTATTTTTCTGGAAGGAGCAGGGACATCAAGGAAGTTGATTCTGTGAGAATCAATCGGAGAGACAGGGTTAGATCCCTTATTAAGAATGCAGCTATTCCTCCACTTTCGTCACGGTTTAAGGTTTTCATTATTGATGAGTGCCACCTGATGCGCGGGGAAACTTGGGCAACTGTTTTGAATAGCATAGATAACCTTTCTCAACATGTTGTCTTCGTGATGCTCACTCCTGATGTCGATGAGCTTCCCCGAAGTGCAGTGTCACGGTCTCAAAGGTTTCACTTTCCAAGGATTAAGGACGCTGATATTGCAAGCAGATTGGGGAGAATCTGTGTTGAAGAGGGTCTTGAATTTGATCAGGGTGCTGTAGACTTCATTGCTGCCAAGTCAAACGGTTCACTTAGGGATGCAGAGATGATGCTTGATCAGCTAAGTTTGCTTGGTAAAAAAGTCACAATGGGCCTGGCATACGAGCTTGTAAGTTCTTGGCAGCTGTTTTTATTCATTTATTTACGTTTATATAGCACACTCTATTTATCCAATACTTACAGGAGAATTTCCGTTTTGTTGTTATGCAGATTGGAGTTGTCTCGGATGATGAATTACTCGGTTTGCTAGATCTGGCATTGTCATCTGACACTTCTAATACAGTAATAAGGGCCAGGGAGTTGATGAGATCTCGGATTGATCCCATGCAACTTATATCACAGTTGGCAAATCTTGTTATGGACATTCTTGCTGGTAAATGTCAGGACAGTGCTTCTGAAGTCCGAAAAAAGTTCGGCAGTAGACACACGTGTAAGTAGTCTAACATTGCACGTGTAATATGGTCGCTTAGTACTTACTCTCACTTAGTACTTACTCTCTGAAAGCTCCATCAGAAATCTATACAGGAAATGATAGTTCTTTGAGGATGATTTTTAGACCCAAAATTTTGTTTATTTTGGTTTTGATTAATGGTCAAGTAAATTAATTATTAATGGTTTTTCTCTGTGTCCTCATAGATGAACCAAGTACTACTTGGAACTTGTTACAAGGAGTCATGTATGATCTATCTTATATAAATTTCTCATGCATTGTCGTCATAAGTTAATATTTCAATATGATGATTGTTTCTTTGATGTATATGATGAATCTGTTTTAAAAATGTTTGTTGGTTAGAGTGGTCATCGTGCCTACGTTATGTCTACTGCTGTTAATTACTCTGTCATCTCATGATTATATGCTTATACTAAGGTTGTTGTCTCAATTTTCTTCTTTGCAGCTGAAACGGACTTGCAGAAACTGAGCTATGGATTGAGAATATTATCTGAAACTGAGAAGCAATTAAGGGTTTCCAAAAATCAAGCGACATGGCTTACTGCAGCTCTGCTGCAGCTAAGCTCCGTGGAGTCTTCGTCCTTGGATGGAAATGGTACAAAATTGTGTTTGAGAAGTACACAAGAGAGAGGTGAGAATACCTTACATTTTAATTTCATTCATGGAAAAGGCCTTTCTTTATCCATAACTTCAACTCGTTAGTTTAGTCGAACTTTCATATCAAGGTTATTTTTCCTTGGTTTCTGATATATTTTGTTATTATGGCGGTATATCATCCACAGCGACAGCAGAGAGCTTCAAGAATCGTGCCACTTGTTCATGCAATTTAGAGACACCAGACAAGTTGGGCATGCAGAAGGATAGTGATGGAAAGTTGGAAGCCATATGGAAGAGAACTACAGATTTATGCCGATCCAATTCACTCAAGAATTTTCTTAAGAAACAGGGAAAATTGTCTTCCTTGCTTGTTGGTCAAGGTACATACGTCTACTAGTATCTAGTACATGATCATTAATCGTCAAATTATGGTAAAAACCACATACAAACATATTTAAAAATTAGGGGAGATAGAAATCAGGATGAGCTGTATCAACATCTTTATCTTCTTAGTTTGGCTTGTTATATGACATTTCCATACACGCAAAATGTTCTCACGTTTATAAAAGATGGAAATGGATTTTCTTACGCTCATGTGCACTAACAGAGTAATGCTCAATGTAGGTTTAGCAATAGCTGAATTGGAATTCTGCCATCCCGATTTTGTATCTAAGGCTGAGAAGTCATGGAAGGTCATTGCAAATTCACTTCAATCTATATGTGGTTGCAATGTGGAGATCAGGATCAATCTTGTACCTTGTGCTTCTGATTCCAAGTGTGCGAAAGTGAAGAAGTCATCTTTTACGTTGTTCAGCTGTTCCCGCAGAATGCAGCAGAAATCACAATCATCTACAGAACATGGAACTGAGTCAGACTATTCTGAGCACACTTCTGAAAAGCCTATGTTAAGTGACAGACCTACTTTACCTTGCTCGTCTGAGTGTTCTTATCAAGTGCCACATAACTGCTGTGACAAAATGGTGGTGGTAAGTACTTTGAGAAATAGCGAAGGAAATATTCTCAGCACAAGGACTGCCTCATCCCGCAGATCATTTGAAGACAACGCATCAGAGGCACCTGGATTAGTGGTTGATTCTTCGAAGGACGATGGAAGCAATCATGAATGCCATGCTTTATCTTTTGTAGAACCTGAACATCAACCAAACTGTTTTCCTAGAACCTTGAGGCTTCAAAAGAAGTTCCGTTCATCAGATGCTTCTCAGACAACCTGTTGCACCAAACGACAAAACACGATTGCATTATCTAGCCCAAGCAAGACATCTTTTGGCACATGTCTCGTGGGAAATGATTCATATGTTTTCTGCAGTGGCGCTTGTAACAACAGTGGCAGCTGTATAGATGAGAATGCGTAAGTGTTGCTGTAGTCTTCTTTCTGTATGTTGGTGCCCTTAAACTTCGGGTTTGAGATTCTTCTCGTCTTAATTTCAGATTGAAGGAGAACTCAGGCGTGCTTTGTTGGAGAACCCCAACGCTTCACTTGGGAAAGGTATAGTAAAAAAACTACATGACTATGTTGAAAATTTAAATTGTCTTCTTGAAGTTTTAGGACCAAAAACAAGGTTCAAGATGTTCTTTCACTGCACATACTTAATGACATAAGACCTGACTAATTCGAGTGTGTTAAATCTACAGGCTTGGCAGTTGAGACATAATCGACAAAACTCGAACCTAGGGTGTTGGGTTCTTCCCTGTGCAACTGCTAAGTAGTTCTACAAAGGAGTAGCACCGGGCGAAAATAGCCGTAAATTATGATGGCGGCAGATACATAGGCGTATTTCTTATCGTGGGTCTATATTTTGCAATCTGCTTATTGATGTTATTGATATTTTCAGGACCCAGATTCAGGATTTATATATAGTATATAGCAAGAACTGATTTTTTCTCCGATTTAGTATGCATTTTTTGGAGTCAATGTTGGGAGGACTTCCATGAAACGGGTTCACGTGGGTGCTGGACAGTGGAATCCCGGCCCAGTGTGCAAACGCCCGAAAGTCCTACAATGTTGGATTCTCCATTTTTTTTAATCTGAAATATTAATCTCGAAAGAAAATAAGCAGTGTATTACCCTGCGTAGAAATGCTGATGGGAAGCATAGGGAGCCTTCCTTGCATAAATGTATCGTTTGGTATGCGGAAGGGACATGACAGAATGGAGAGGGAGCAAAGATGCTCTCGGATGGAAACAAGGAGGAAGAAGAAGGAGACGGAGAGGTTATAATTTTGTGTTCCACAGATGTGGAACGAGTTGTTCTAGGGGGTGAGGCGGAACGAAAATTCATCGAAAACTTATCCCGTGAAACAGGGCGCACCAAACGTGGGATGAAATGCCTCGTCCAATTCCGTTCCGTCCCGTCCCACGTACCAAATATGGATACATGCCTTATCTCAAAGGTAGAAAGTAAAGTACTAACTATACAACTAGTGACATTTCGGTCTAGTGATATTTCTACTTTCAATTCAAAAAGATAGCACTCACTACAACTCCTTCGCCCTACATGCATAAAAAAATTGAAGTTTCGAGCCCTTTTCCATTTAAATGAGAAAATACGAGCGCCCGGTGGAATGATGAGGTGCTTTTAATTGAATCTCTAGAAAAAAAAGTTTCGGGGATTTCAGATACACTCAAATTTGAGTCCTATAGGATATATAACACTTGTTCTGTTGATTCTTGACTGTTGATGCATGTAGACCTTACAATACATCAACAGTTAAGATTTGCTTACGTGATTCACCCGCTTGAGCAATTGGACATAAAAAGTTCAATAAAATAAAATAAAATACAAAAATAAGAAATAATTTCCATACACATATTTTGTTTATCCGTCGATTCTCCTTTGATTTAAGTTATCAAAAAACGCTTTTAGTCCTTCTAAATCAAATTTTCAAATAATCCCTTGGATCCAATCACTAAGCCCAATGAGCCGAAGTACATTGGCCCCAAATGGCCCATAAACCCTCTCCGATTTTCAGTTACCAAAGTTTCGGCTTCTCCGAAACGGCGGAAGGCAGCGAAATCGGGAAGACGAGAGCAGCTGTGGTTTGGGCAAAGCTCACAGTCAGAGTGAATGGAGAACGTAAACGAGAGTACAAGCGTTCGAGTTCTATGCCCTAAGCTTGTTCTCTGCAAGAACGAACCGGGCCTCCAATGGCTGATCGGATCCCCATTTTTCCCGCCACTCACCGTCGTCTCCACTGTCAGATGCATCCACACCGATTCCTCCTCTCCAGACTACCGCAGAGAATCAGGTACCTGAATTCTGTTTGTTTCCCGAGAAAATTGAATAAGTTCTATGAATATAGTGTTTCCGAGCAATTTCAGTTCAGAGTTTGATTGGTTTCCGTAACCTGAGCAGAAGAGCTTCGGACGTTACTGTTGAAAGGATTTGAGGTGATCGGTGCACTAATCGTTGCGAATTCCGGTGATGGAAAGAGCGCCTCCGGCGAGGCAATTGCGGCGGCACGCAGGTTGCGAAAGCTGCTCTCCGGAGAAAGAGAAAAAGCGGACAGTCAACAAGTAATTGGAGCTGTTGCGGATTTTAGTGGCGGCGACATTCAGTTTTTCGTGTCGAAATCCGCGAGCTTGACCAGCTTTGAAGCTGTGAATGTATTGTATGAAGATCATCCTGAAAAGTATGTTTGGGAGAGGGGCTGTCTGCTCCGATGTGAGCTTCCATTTAAGCTGCCAATCTACTATCCGGTAAACAGGCCGAATGGTAAGGCTTTTCGGTGGTGCATTTTCGTAGTTTTGAGTAAATTTTAATTGGAAATCTGATTGAGCATTGGTGCTGGCTCATGCTTTGTAGTTTGTTGTGTTTGCTAGTGTGATTTGGTTTGCTTGTGGATGAATGAGCGATTGACGGTTCAGAGCAGAAGTAGGAAGTACAATGTAGGAGCTTTTACTTACTAAAATGAGTGCATAACATGGTTTCCGAAGCATATTTTATTGAATCTAGAAATTTTGATTTCAATGGCTTTTTTGGGGTGGTCGAACGCCAGTGTGTAGTAGAGGGGTTGATTTTCTGGCCTTGATGGTTCCATAGTTGCCCTCGTTAAAGATAAAGGCTTTGTCGAGTGTCAGTCAACGGAAATATGAGCTGTAATGGCTCATATTCACTTTTCCGTTTTTCCTGTGGACCTCCTCATTCATTCAGAGTTGATACTTGCATTTCGACAAAATATAGCTACTATTTACTCTTCCTTTTAGATGACGAGATCCCTGCGGTTCAATGGAAATTGAATGAATGTTTATTTTCGTTTATTATTGTATTAGATTCAGAAAAGATGTTTCAACGTGCAACTGAAGCAGTTATTGCAAAATTCAAAGATCCAAAGGCTATGTACATGGTAGAAGCATTAAGCAAAACATCTGCTGAAGTACCTCAACCTGTCATCCTCCGCGGTGTAGATTTGGATTTTGACACAGATCTCTCAAATGTCAAAATTTTGGGAGAAAGTGCCCAAGATTCTGATGCTGATCTTTTATCATGTTCCCACTTCTGTTTGGATAGTAAAAAAGGTGCACCGGTATATTCTGCTGAGGTAAGAAAAATGAAAGAGATTCATTGCTTATTGAGATCTTGGAAATATTTTATCTTCTGTAGTTTTATTTAATCCTTCTTTCAGCAATAACAGTGAGTATTGGAGTTCGATTTTTGAATAGCTTTCCTGCTTAGCATGCAGATAGAATCCAAGTAAGTGTTCTGCTGAATAGTTCAGATAAGTCTAAAAAATCGACAGCCCCCGTTGCTGAATATTTTCCAGGTATTGCTTTCACTTTTACTCATATGAAGTACAGATATACATTTTTCAAATATGAAGCTTTTTAGTGGAGATTATATCTCTACTCAGTTTAATGGAATTTAAATTGTGTGGTTACAGCTTTGGAAGAAGCCAGAATTTTGGTGGTAGACTTTAAGCTAGAAGTGCTTTGCTATGCAGCCAAGGGTCTCCTGCTGAGGCATGCAGTTTCAAAGTTAATGATCCCGGGGTTGATTGATCAGTTTAATTTAGTGGGAAATACAATCCTACCCAACCTCTTATCCCAACATCCTCAGGTAAGGCAAACCATTTCTTTTGTAATATCATATCGATCTCTTGCTATTACTACCCATCTGAATACCTAAAATTCAGAAACATGAGATTATTTATAGTATAAGTGAGTACTTTCTTTTCCACACTTTCTTTCCATGTGCCTATAATTATGGACTAGCTAGCGCTTATGTGCACACACTTGAAAACCTTGAGCTCTATCCGGGCATTCTGTAGTATCCGATGCCAATTCACACAAATGTTGAATAAAAGTCTAGTACAGTGATTAATGATTATCGGCACAACCAGACCTAATTTCAAGTAACTATTGGTTTATTGCATTTGCAGCTACATCCGTATCACTTCAGTCCTCCCGGTGTTCTGCATCCAATCACTGTTATCTATGAACTCAACTACGGGGAAACAGAAATGAAGCAAGGTAGGCAGTGGCAACGATTAATTTTTCTACTTTCAGGGCACAATCGATTTATTGAAAGAGTACTAGTTCCAAAACAAAAAGCCTAGATTAGTTTTAAGTGGCTCCCGACTGGAAGTTTAGAGATTGTTCTTTTTTATGATCAAAATAAATACTTACATTTCTTCCATGATTAAAAAGTTGCTTTTGCTTCAGTGCTTGTGAATGTGGAAAAGGTTGTATTATTTATTAGATGCAGAGATTTTTGGAGAGGAAGCTTATACAAGTTTCTTTTGTAATTGGATCTTAGAATTAGTTATCTTAATCTCGTCTTTGCTTTCTGCAGTTGAAGTTAGAAAATCTTTACACTTAAGACTGGGTTTACCTTTTGATCGTCCTCTTCTAAGAATTGCCAACGCTCTGGATTTCTCTACATTGAGGGATGGTGTAAGGAGTGACGCAACACGGAAAGGTAATCTCATTTTCCATTGAATATGCAAACCTCATTTGTCAGTTGCAAGGCTCTTATTCCCGTATGTTTCATCTCCAAAAAGAAACGTTTTCTTATTCTTTGGTTTTTTTTGTCGATATTAACTCGTTTGATACATTTCTATGGTTGTATCAGGTTCTACTTTGCTTAAAAATGTACACATCGGGATTCCAAGCAGCGGGGGTTGGTGGCTGCTCTTGTTTCTTTGTTTATATCCTTTGCCTCTGATCAGTGGAGTTTTGTTTGATACTATTACGTCTTTATGCAGTTTCTGGGGGCAGTGTGTCTTTGTTGCAAGGCTCTTATGAATACTATCATTATCTACAAGACGCCTTCAATGATTCGGTAATGAGCGATATCCTATACCTCGTATTTGTAATATCTTGTCGAGTATACATATTAAGCTGCGGTTAGGTTGAATTTCATAATGATCGGATTAAAGCTGTCTAATAAATTTTTGCAGGAGTGCCCATCTAGGCCCTCTGATGAGTTTGAAATTCAGTTTTCTCAAGTGTTGTTTTGTTATCTTGCTAGGGTTGGGGTTGTGCTTATCGCTCTCTACAAACAATTATTTCATGGTTCCGACTCCAACACTATACATCCGTAGAAGTTCCATCGCATAGGTAATAAATTTACCAGTTTAGGATTTCCTTGGTATCGATTAATTGTTTCGCTGACGCTACTTATCAGCATCGTATAATTTCATCTGACAAGCCAAGTGATATTAGGGAAATACAGCAGTCACTTGTAGAGATTGGTGATAAAGATCCTTCTTTCATTGGGTCGCGGGAATGGATTGGTGCCATCGAGTTGAGCTTTGTTCTGGACAAGCTTTTGGGTGTAAGTATCATCAATGTGGTTTACGGATAATTTCTCGAATGTAATGCACACGAGTTTAACAGGGTTTGGTTTCTGTACTGAACAGGTTAGTTGCAAAGTCATGAATGTCAGATCTGGAGCTGAGCTTCCCGAAAAATGTCGAGAGCTGGCCTTGCACTTTGACACTCAAGGAACGCCTATTATGATTGGTTAGTTCCCTCCCGTAAATTTGGCTTTTCTCTGGATTAAAGACGGCATGGAAACTTAGCAGAAGTAATTCAAGACACATTGAAAAACTCTCTTATGATTTGATACATGAATGTAGGTGGTGGAGTTCTTGCATATACCCTCCTGGGAGTTGATTATAATGAAGCAAGCGGAGATTGCGCGTTTCTAATACTCGATCCCCACTACACAGGCAGTGACGAACACAAGAAAATTGTGAGTGGCGGATGGTGCGGGTGGAAAAAGGCTGTTGATAGCAAGGGAAAGAGTTTCTTTCTGCACGATAAGTTCTATAATCTTCTGCTTCCACAGAGGCCTAACATGGTTTGATCTATCACTATCATCATCAAATCTATACACCCTGTTATGAAATGTAGCATTAAATTCGGCAGCAACGGTGAATTTCAATCGGCCGATATAATTTTAGAATTTTTTAACTCTTCTAAATTTGGCCTGAAGTTTCAGAGGTTACTGAGTAATAAAGGGAGGCGATTATGTTTTAGCACTAATTTTGAAATTATGCTAATCATGTCTAATATCTTTCGTGTTCTGCAAGAAAAATACCAAAAAAGCGACATTGATATGAAATCGAAATTCTAACCCATCAACAAGTGCAGATTTTACAACTTTGCAGCCTCAGCGGTGGCAGCCGCAGCAGAAGCAGCCTGATCATGGTGAGAAACTTCGTCATACGCTCCGGTCTCCTCATTGTACGAGTACCAAACCCCAGATGCAGCGGAGCAATAGAGCCCTGTCGACGGATCATAATAGTACCCCAAACTGCTGCTATAATAGTACCCCGAATTCTCATCAAACACATAATCATTCTGCGCTTCGGACGAACCAACTCCTCTTCCGTTGGAATCCGACGGTCTAGCAGCAGCATTAGCATCTTCATCATCGTCTTCACCAAACATATCATATCCATCTCCAGCAGTTTCATCACCATTGTTATCGTTAGCAACTGGCGGGATGCCTTCGAGTCTTGCCCTAGCTAAAGTCTCATACCCCTGAGCCTCCCGTTCGAAAATCTCCTTCTTCTCATGATTCACATCATACTCCCCATGCTTGTCCATCAGTGTCACAGCATCCTCAGTCAGCTGATCGAAAACCCTCTTCGTCTCCGGCGACATCTTCACCTTCTTGTCCCCCTTCAACCTCCTCAGAGCCTGCAACACCGTTTCGCCTTCCTCGAGCACATCGGCAATGCGCCTCTTAATCTTCCCAATATCTTCATCTTCCGGTTGCAAATCCTCCGTATCATCTTCGACTTTCGGTTTCGGAACATGTAACTGCGTAACCCCAGCTTCAACGCTATCCAGCCAAGCATCCTTCACTCGATTTCCTTCAGCATACTCGACGAAATTCCCCTCGGCATCGAAATACCCCTCTTTCCTCTCCTTCTCCAAGTTGAAAGGCTCCATCTGAATCCCGTCCTCCACGAAATTGTCGTAATCCAATTCCTCGCCGTACGCGACTTCGGCGGCGGAGACATCGTCGCCGCCGATCCCGTCGTCCCCGAACCGGCGCCGCTTCTCGCGTTCTTTGGCGGCGAAACGGGGGTCCGGAAACTCAACCCCGATCTCGTCGTCGTCCTCGTCGGCTCGGGGTATCTTCACGGGTTCGTCTTCCCGTCTCGCCTTCTTCCCCTTGGGAAACTTAACCCTCCTTTCCGCCGTGGGTCTGTCGGAATCGGAATCGGAGTCGGAGAGTTCGGGGACGGGGCGCTTGCGATTGGATCGCGATGGAAGATTGGGTTCCATTGAAGAGCTTGGAAGCAAATCGAATCAAGAGGGATGTATTTGTGATAGTGTAATACTGTAATTGCCGGCCGTCGTTTTCAGCGCTGAGAAAAGTTGTGGAAAATGGAGGCGGTGGTCGGGTAGGGGTTTTTGTGAGGGGATTTTTTCACATAATTTTTGGGCTACAAGATAATTTGGACACAATCTATCCATTAAAAAAAAAAAAAAAAGATTTTGCTATTTTAGTTTATTTAATTTTGAAGATAAAATAAATTTTAAGAGACGGCTACAACTGTATCTACTGCTCAGTGATCGGGTTTTATGTAAGATTTAACTATTATAAAGATTTATTAGATTCTTAAATGCAAGATTAACTATTAATTTTTCAAATTATTCAGTTGTAAATAACATAAAAGAAAAAAATTCATTTAAGGACGACGGTTAACGTCGAGGTTTCCGTTGATAAGAATGGTCGGTGATGGAATGAGATACGCCGGAAGAGACGATGGTTGCTGGCTGCGGGTCTCAAGAATTCTCTCTTTCAGATATTTTTTTAATTTTTTAAAATTGAATTTTGTTTCTATTTTTAAATAAGAAAATGAAAATGATTTAGCACTCCAAACAAAAAAGTTATTTTTAGTACGTTTGTTCTCGTATTCAACGAAAGAAACGTTATCCAAAATGGGATTTTAACTTGTGAGCCCAAATATCAGCATCTCATCTCCTTCTGCAATTTACCCAAACACAAAACGCACCGTAGGGACCTCATTCCCCGGGCAGAAGAATCTGACCAACTCTCTCCTCTCCTATGTGCAAATTAACAGTTGATTTTTCATTAGATTTATTTAACTATTGTAAAGATTAATTAGATTTTATATGCAAGATTAACCAGAGTTTCAAACCTCACCGAGTCGGGCTGACCAGCTCCAAACTACAGCCGGGCCAACCCACTTTGGGCCGCCCATGGGCTGCGGACTAAATGATGACCCTCGAACCATGACAAGTTGCATTAAAAGAACTCATGAGTCAGTCAATCAAAAGACAAACAACAACAACAACAAAGCCTTTTCCCACTAAGTGGGGTCGGCTAGGTTTCGTTCTGGATTCGACGTAACCGAAGAGTGCCTACTGTCGACTACCTGACACCCTCTTCCTCCTTCTTTATCTGGGATTGGGACCGGCAATGTAAGATAAACTTACACAGGCGGAGTTAGTCAGTCAATCAAAAGACACAAGGCAAAAATGTCCTCCTACAAACTAGTGATAGCTTTCACAAAACACAAGAAATTGCTTTCAATATCATGCTTACCTCCAGCAAAGTGACGACAACCAACACGGTGTGAAGTGTTTAGCTGAAGCAACGTGTGTGAAGTGTCACCAAAATTTGCTTACTAAACTTGTTTATCTTGCCTAACTTGTTCATCAAGTTTGTTCATGAAATGATATCGCTTGTGTAAAGTTACTAAAACACCCAACAGAATTTAACGTCAAGAGATAAATTTCTTGGAAACAAAGATAAACCTGATTAGAACAAAACGACGAAAAAGGGCAGATTGGTATTTCCCTAACTGAAACCCTACCCGGTTAGACCGGGGCGGGTGGAAGCAAAGGGCAGGAGCAAAACAGTCCATGCTGGCTTTAGCGCGAAGGCCACGTGGACGGCCCTATCGCTCTCCCCACAGTGATGACGTGTACACGTAACCGTAGCCTCCCTATAAAAGCCTCCGCTTTCACTTCCGTTCTCATCCACTTTCTCTCTCTCTCCTCACTTTCTCTCTCTACAAATCGCCAACCGATTGAGACTTCACTCACTGATTCGGATCCAACTCCGCTGGTTTCTGATTAGCCCGGACCCGCCGATCCGTCAGATCGTCGTCGGTGCTTCCAGTGGGACTCCGGAGCTCCGAGATTTGGATATCCGATTGCTTCTCCTGTTCTTGGCTCGAGATCCGGGCCAAGCACAGAAGAAACGGATTCGCTGCTCTTCCGACTTCGTATACTGAGGTAATTTTGAAACTTTTGGTCGCGCGAATGGATTATTTCTTGCTGTGTACGTCGGTGGTGTTTGGATGCTGAGAAAATACGGGGGAAAGATAGAAAATGATGCATGTGATGTTTGGTTTGCTCATTGTTTGGGACTCGGGAAAATGAAATTGGTGCTTTACTGTGTCTGATGCTGCATTTTGCTTTGTGTATTTCTTCATTTTCCTTCAGTTTCTTGGTAGCCAAACAGTTTTTAGCTGTAATCTTGATGTGTAGATAATGGTCACTTGATCCGTTTTAATATTTGATTAGTTTAATATTGCAAAGGTTAATTAGTTTGTAACATATTTGCTTAGGTAAAACTTTAAATTAGGGATTTATTTTTTCGTGATTAATTGGAAAGTAGTATTTAGGATCGAATAACTGTATATTATTACTCGATATTAGTATTGATATAGGGATTTTTTTTTTAGGTAAATGGCCTCGAGTGAGGGATTCCTGACGAATGAGCAGAGGGAGACGTTAAAAATTGCTAGCCAGAATGTGGAGGTTTTGTCGTCATCGCCGAAATCCCCTACATCTTTTCTATCTGAACACCATGTAAAAGCCCCTGCTGGTGGGAAGGCACCAACAGCTGGGATAGCCGTGAGGCATGTACGTCGGTCGCACTCAGGAAAGTTTGTGCGAGTAAAGAAGGGTATGTCCCCATTCAGCACTTTCGCGATTCACCTTGATTTTATGTTAGCTTATGAAGTTTTGAAGAGAGTGGGATTGGATACATTGATTTGTAAGTAATGGTGTTTACGGTTTTATTAAGTAATTGTCGTTGTTAAATTATTGTCCCCATGATGCTCTTAAACAATTTTGGTGCATGTATCAGTTGAGTTTTAACTTTTTTTTTTAAGCAAATGATAGCACTTCAGTTTTACATGGTCGAAGACTTGATGTTGTACTTTAGTTCATCTTTGGGTCAATCGTAAAGTTGTTTTCTTTCTAGCTCTACCACTTTTAATTTTTGATTTGATGTTGTTCAGTTGTGCGGAATTGACGATATTGTCAGTGGATGTTAAAATTAGCTCTCTCTGGTATTTTTATTAGTTGAATTGATTTCCCGTTTTTGTCTGATGGTAACAGAGGGAGGCGGTGGAAAGGGCACGTGGGGAAAACTGCTTGACACTGACGGTGTACCCACTCTTGATCGTAATGACCCTAACTATGACAGTGGCGAGGTAATACATTTTTAAGTTTAGTTTCAATATATTCCCTACATTTATTATTTTGTGTACTCTGATTAGGTGGATTAAAATTTTCTAATTTAAATACTCTGGCTCATCAGGAACCATATCGACTTGTTGAGTCAACTGTTACAGATCCCTTGGATGAATACAAGAAAGCTGTCGTTTCCATAATTGAGGAATATTTCAGCACTGGTGATGTGGCAGTGGCAGCATCTGACCTCAAAGAACTAGGCTCAAGTCAATATCATTCTTACTTCATTAAGCGACTTATTTCCATTGCCTTGGATAGGCATGATAAGGAGAAGGAAATGGCTTCGGTTTTGCTTTCATCTTTGTATGCCGATGTCATTAGCCCTCCCCAGATTAAAGATGGATTTTTCATCCTTCTTGAATCTGCTGATGACCTTGCAGTGGACATATTGGATGCAGTAGATATCCTCGCTTTGTTCCTTGCTCGTGCAGTGGTTGATGACATCCTTCCTCCTGCCTTCTGCACCAGGGCAAAGAAAGCACTCCCAGAATCTTCAAAGGGCGTTCAGGTAATCCAGACTGCTGAGAAGAGCTATCTTTCAGCTCCGCACCATGCAGAACTTGTGGAAAGGAGGTGGGGCGGTAGCACCCACATTACTGTTGAAGAGGTGAAGAAAAAAATTGCTGGTCTATTGAGGGAATATGTGGAAAGTGGAGACACTTCTGAGGCTTGTAGGTGTATAAGGGAGTTAGGTGTTCCATTCTTTCATCATGAGGTTGTGAAGAGGGCTTTGGTTCTTGCCATGGAGATTCAAACAGCAGAACCGCTAATAATTAAGCTGTTAAAGGAAGCAGCTGAAGAAGGCTTGATTAGTTTTAGTCAAATGGTAAAGGGCTTTTCTCGATTGGTAGAGAGCCTTGACGACCTTGCTCTTGACATTCCATCAGCAGTCAGCTTGTTCCAGTCCCTGGTCCTCAAGGCGACAGATGAAGGTTGGCTTGATGCTTCCTTTTTGAAGTCCTTGGATGAAGATGGCGATGCACAAGTTGAAGATGAAAAAGTGAGGCAGTACAAGAAAGAAATTGTGGCCATAATTCATGAATATTTTCTCTCAGACGATATCCCAGAACTGATCCGGAGCCTTGAAGATCTTGGGGTACCTCAATATAATCCACTCTTCTTGAAGAAGCTGATCACCCTTGCAATGGATCGCAAGAACCATGAAAAGGAAATGGCATCTGTTCTGCTTTCTGCCCTTCACATTGAGATCTTTTCAACCGATGACATCGTTAATGGCTTTGTCTTGCTTCTGGAATCTGCCGAGGATACAGAATTGGACATTTTGGATGCTTCGAATGAGCTTGCTCTTTTCCTGGCTAGGGCTGTGATCGACGATGTCTTGGCTCCTCTGAATTTGGACGAAATTGGCAGCAAGTTGCCACCAAATAGCAGTGGAAGTGAGACTGTTCGATCGGCCCAATCACTGATTTCTGCTCGCCATGCTGGTGAGAGACTCCTGAGATGTTGGGGAGGCGGGACTGGCTGGGCTGTGGAGGATGCAAAGGACAAGATAGCAAAGCTGTTGGAGGAGTATGAAAGCGGGGGTGTTGTGAATGAGGCTTGCCAGTGCATCCGGGATCTTGGAATGCCGTTCTTTAACCACGAGGTGGTGAAGAAGGCACTGGTCATGGCTATGGAAAAGAAAAACGACAGGATGCTAGACCTGCTTCAGGAGTGCTTCAGTGAAGGACTGATCACAATCAACCAGATGACGAAAGGCTTCACCCGAATCAAGGACGGGCTAGACGACCTTGCTCTCGACATTCCAAACGCGAGGGAGAAGTTCAGCTTCTACGTGGAGCAGGCACAGGAGAAGGGGTGGCTCCTGCCTTCCTTTGGATCACCTGCTGCGGATGGCTCGCAGAAACCCGACCCAGGCTCTGCAGCTTCTTGAGAAGGAACACATTTTTCGATTGCCTCTCTCTCATGTAATGTTGTTGGCC